TTTGGATTGCACCGACATCTCTTTTCTAATTTTGGTCATCTCTTTGCCCTTGCAATTTAAGTTCTTAAAGTTATCAATCAATCATTTCATTTATGTGATAGACCTGTATTTAAAATGAATATTTACCACAAATTAAAGGTATCTTATATTATAAGATATATTATTATAAAACATGCTTTAGTTAAGGAATTATTGATACTTCATCTGCAAAATGATGATATAAAACCATGATAAAAATGCACTTTTAAGTACTAATCAATTTGTTTATCTAAAAAAGAACTATAGATCTTTCTCTAAGTCTTATAACCAATTTTTTTAAACAGGGATATGAGATTCTTCTTCATGCTCTAGGTTTTCATAATCACCTTTCTCTAACAACATCCAAATACTTCTCTCTAAAATGCATTCATAAACATATTTACAAGCCAAATTACTTTCATTTATACTCTTCCTTTTATATTATTATATTATTCCTTGATTACTCCTTTTAACTAGTACTTCTAATAAACAATCTTTACAAAGCATAATCTTACAACTCATCACTTGTAAAGAAACTTGAGATCTTTTTTCATATAACTAAATCTTTATGTTAGACAACAACAAAAATAATCATCATGCTTTTAAGTGGCGAAATAGCCTATATATAAGCATAATCATGTTTGACTTTGATCACCCCAACCAAGAAGGTTCATCTCCTAAAAACGACATTAATGTCACTCTCACACTTAATAATAAGGTAAACCCCCATTTTTATAGGCATTATTATAAGTACACATAACTCAACTTAAGCATCCATAATATCATTACTAGTCAAATCAACTTCTTACTGATTAGTACTTAAAAGTGCATTTTTATCAGGGTTTTATATCATCATTTTGCACTTGAGGTATCAATAACTCCTTAACCAAAGTATGTTTTATAATAATGTATCTAATAATATAAGATACCTATAATTTATGGTAAATGTCTATTTTTAATGCAGGCCTATCACATAAATGAAAGGATTGATTGATGACTTGAAGAACTTAAAATGCAAGGATAAAGAGATG